ATTTCTCAATTGAAGTTCTTCTCCCCAGGTTTCTCGTTAGTGTCAAATTGACAAAAATAAAATAAAATGCCAACCACAATACCCTTCCAAGACTCCGGGCACACATCACAGCAGAGGAGACAAAGACTGCCAAGAGACAGTGTGAGGAGTACTGGGGACCGCCAGTGAGGAGGAGGAGGAGCACTGGGGACCGCCAGTGAGGAGGAGGAGCACTGGGGACCGCCAGTGAGGAGGAGGAGCACTGGGGACCGCCAGTGAGGAGGAGGAGGAGCACTGGGGACCGCCAGTGAGGAGGAGGAGGAGCACTGGGGACCACCAGTGAGGAGGAGGAGGAGGAGCACTGGGGACCGCGTGTGAGGAGCACTGGGGACTGCCAGTGAGGAGGAGGAGCACTGGGGACCGCCAGTGAGGAGGAGGAGCACTGGGGACCGCGTGTGAGGAGCACTGGGGACTGCTGTCTCCCCGCCATGACATGACCATTGCACTCACAAGGTCACAGAATCTGTGGTTACCTGCACAGGACTGTCAACATTCCTTCATGGTTATAGGAAGGGCGGCTCATGAAGCCCACTCCTGGTAGGAAATATGGGCCATGAATGTTTGCTGAGGGAGGAAGAGACATTTACTAAACGGTACAGCATCGGTGACTCCCTGACCTATCCTTGGTAAAGAACCCCACCCCTGACCATGCAAGCAACTCTAATCAAACTCAGTGAAACTCAATGTGCCCCAAAGTGAAAGTGGCAGGGTGGCTAGAGTGTGCGTGTGTGCATTGTGTGCGTGTGTGTGTGTGTGAGAGTGTGTGTGAGAGTGTGTGCGTGTGTGAGAGTGTGCGTGCATGTGTGTGTGAAAGAGAGAGAGAGACAGAGAGACAGACAGAGAGAGAGACAGACAGAGAGAGAGAGAGGCAGAGAGAGAGAGTACTGCCCACTCTCCAGGCCAACATCCAAAAGTAAGCATTTTGCATACCTATGCCTCCCTTAGAAAATAAGTCATGTAGCAGGGCTGGGGTGTAGCTCAGTGAGGAAGCATCTGTGTAGCAGGCCATGGGCACCATCCCACTACCACACACAGAAAAGGCCACGTGAAGGACAAGGTCCATGGCAGGCGATCTAAAGGACAAGGGCAAGGGAATGAAGTCATCAGACAGAGGGCATGGCAGCCGTGAACACACCGTGGTCCTGGTGGGGGAAGACGCACACAGGCCTGTCAATCTAGCTACAGACCGAGACACAACATTCCCTTACGCTCTACTGAACACTTCAAGGTCTTCTGAGGCTTGCAAACTGATCCTTTTTATTTTCTAAACACAACAATATGAAGGTAGTGGCTAAAACGTCTCCTTAAAGCACATTTCGTTTCCTAACCACACTAAGTGCCGCCCCCCAGATCTTACACTGTTCCACCAGGAATACCACATAAAGTGTGAGACAGATCAGCTGCCAGCGTGAGAAAGGACAGATTGCTCAGAACGTATAGAGTCTATATTCAAATGTCATTATTTACATGTTTAAGGACTACATGAGAAAAAACTGTTAAAAAGTGACAGGAGACAAGAGAAAGAACATTCAAAGGCGTGAACTAAAATTATCTTGATCATAACTATGGCAGCATATTGTAAACTGTTTACAAAACATAGTCATGTAGTTCCACTCCTTTTGTTCATACAAATAAGGCAAAATTACAAAATGATGATTTTCTGCATAATAAAATAAAAGCATAAACTAACCATGGAACAAAAATGTCATGCTATAAACATAATGACTTTAACTTTCATGAACTACTAAGGATGGCTTTAGCAGACCAGTCAATTATCAAAAATCAGAGTGGCCTTATAGTGTTCTACAAAAAAAAAAAAAAAAAAAAAAAAACAGCTACATGAATAGGAAAGTGAACACAAGACACTTCAAGAGTTTAGGTAGGGTTAATGGTCAAACTTGGAAAAAAGACCAAATATTAGGCCAAGACAAGTTAACAGATTGAACACAGTGAGTCAGAGCTAACAAAGCAACAGTTAAAGCTAGAAATGTCCATGTCTGTTAGACAGGCAAAGATTCACCGCAGTGCTTGTGGGCGGGCGCGTCCTAATGAAAGCAGCGTCTGAGGAGGCTAGCTCTAACAGCTGTGTGTAGGACGAGCTGCAAAGGGAAGACATAAGAGGCAGGAACAAACAGTACCCAGGCACATGAAGCTGGGTTCCGATGTCAGAGCACACGGAAGCACCCTGCACATGGGACCAGGAACTGCACAGGCAGTCTGTTGATGCTTCTCACACCTGCAGTCTATCACACGAGGTCAGTGCACAAGTCTCCTCTGGAAATATGGGAAAGTGCCAGACTTTGGGAGACTTCCGGTTTGGGGGTTGGAGAACTCAGAGAAACACAGGTGCTAAATCTACAGAGCCTGCTGAGACACTGCAGCAGGAAGGCATTGGCAGGGAAGGAAACAGCAGACAGCAGCAAAGGCTTCAATGAAGAGAAGATGAGAAATCAGAAAGCTGTTCCTTACGGTTAAACTTCATACTGTTTCCATGAACACCCAGTTACTGTCTTCAATACACAGATATAACTTTTAGGATTTAACTAGGTATTTAAGTCATATGCATAATTATACCAATCTCTAATTAGTACTGCATGATGAAGTGAGATAATGAATATTAAAAGAGTTCTGCCTATAAATGCTGTAACTATAAAGGAACACTTACCATACTAAACTAAATACAAAACCATCTTTCTTAAAAACTCTCTTTATTAAACAAATAAACAGTATGAAAACACAATTGTCTGAATGTCCCAATTCTTATCTACAACAAAGTCTGTATAAACAGAGGTACAAACAAGCAACTGAAACAGAAATAACTTCAAAAGAAATCCTCCAGTAACTCAAAGACACACTTACCAAACTCAGTATACAAATTAATACATGCCCTCCAAATCTTACTCAAACCATAGCACCATGTCCTAATGACTGACTCATGACATCATGATAATGTATTTTCCAAAGTAAAAGCTACTGTGAAACCATGCACAGTGAGTCCCAGGACCGAGAGGGAAACCACGCACAGCAAGTCCCAGGACAGAGAGGGAAACCACGCACAGTGAGTCCCAGGACAGAGAGGGAAACCACGCACAGTCCCAGGACAGAGAGGGAAACCACGCACAGTGAGTCCCAGGACAGAGAGGGAAACCACGCACAGTCCCAGGACAGAGAGGGAAACCACGCACAGTGAGTCCCAGGACAGAGAGGGAAACCACGCACAGTGAGGTCCCAGGACAGAGAGGGAAAGGCTGTAAACCAAAGGACTACCTAAGAAGAATCCATTGGCAGAAAGAATTACATCTACATACTTGTCACAAGTTACCCTTCTTCCCAGACTTAACTTAAACAGTAATATCATCCACTTACTTTGATTTTTAAATGGAATATAGGTATTGAGTTGTGTTTTTGTGGTTTTACAGACTAAAGGGAATGTTTACGTGAACATGATGGGTTTTTCTCCAAAGGCACACACTGTGTCCTTTCTGCCTCTGCAGCACTTTACTACTCTGTCTCTGCGGTTTGAACCCTGCAGTGGTCCCAATATATTAGCACTATGTCACAAATGAGGAAAACCATGCTTAGTCTAGTGAAGTTAAAACCAAAAGGAGCCAGGTTTCAAACTCCTGGCTCCCAGAGTCCATTCCTATACTAGGGATAAATACTGACCCACAACCAGGAGCCTCATAGACTGCCCAGTCCTCCCAAATAAGGGAATCTGGGTCGGTCCTATGCTGGTTTCCCAGCTATCAGACTAGAGTGCATGAGCTCTCCCTTGATCAGGTCAGCAGTTTCTATGGGTTTCTCTAGCCTGGTCTTGACCCCTTTGCTCATCACTACTCCCTCTCTGCAACTGCATTCCAAGAGTTCAGCTCAGTGTTGACACATGGGGGAGGGTCTGGGCCTGCCCCAAATGATGTGACAGACTTTGAAGACTCCCCATGGAAGGCCTCACCCTCCCTGGGGAGCAGGAAGGGGATGGGGTGGGGGTTGGTGGGGGGAACAGGGGAGGACGGTGGGGTGTGTTGCGGGAACTGGGATTGACGTGTAAAACAAGCTCGTTTTAAATTTAAATTTAAAAATACATAAAGCCTCCCGTCTCACTACAAAGCTCATTGGGTAGAGGTGCCTGCTCCCTACAGGTAGGAATGCCCCCCCTGTAGGGACACCTGGCAAAGGCGGCCCATCCTTCCACACAGAGCACAATGCCCCACACTTCTCCTAGTCCCCTGGCAGCATGCACACAGACGGTAACCTAAGCTCTACACCAGCGTGGCATTCCCAACAGGCGCTACAACAAACAGTGTGAGACTGGGAGGATCAAGGTCGGGTCTCGGCATGAGAGCCCAGGGTCAGCAATCTGCAGCATGGCACCTGTCACCAAACTAGGTTCACGTCATAGTCTCCTTTCCTGCTATCGTTTCTCTTGTTCCTGATTAGCTAAGGCTATAGCCCTCCCAAGACCCTAGTGAATTAATCAATAAGCTTTTGCTGGGCAGTGGCACACACCTTTAATCCCAGCACTCAGGAGGCAGAGGCAGGCGGATCTCTGTGAGTTCAAGGTCTGCCTGGTGTACAAAGTGAATTCCAGTACAGCCTAAGCTACACAGAGACACCCTGTCTCAAAAAGACACAACACACACACACACAAAAAAAATCAATACGCTTTCAATCAATCCTTTTTCTGATTTCAGGTTAAAATAGAAACCTATTTTTAAAAAAAGAAAGCTAAGGGAAGCACTGAATAAACAACACTAAGTAACCACACTCCATCAAATCCTAATGCCTCAGTATTTCATTGCTCCGATATGTACTTTGCCTCCGTAGTCCTAAGCACGTACCATCTACTCTACACTCAACAGTATGTCTAACAACAACAAAGGTTTCTTTACCTCTTTCAAAAGCAGCTCACCTAAGAGGTATGTCCACTGGGTTTCAAATGAAACTTAGTTGAGATGGCTTACCTGTCAGGAATACCTAGCCTCTTGACGCTTCTATAAACAGAAAGAGTGTTTGCCACATGTCGGTAATTAAACCAGAATCGGGATGTACACACCTAGAGTTAAAACAAAAACATGATTTTATGAGTCAAACCATGGATTACAGGGTTATTACCCTTCAAATCTATATAGAAATGCTTGAAGAACATGAAGAACCTTCAGTAAAACCAATGTCTCTAAAGAGAGGCTTTTGTAACTGGTATTAAATAAAAGATCACCCAGCTGAAGAGAAACATCTGCAGAGAATTTAACCAAATAGTCAACAAACATAGCTTATCTCCATTTCTGTACAACTGTAATGTCCCCATTTCTAAAAGATTCAATTCTTCAGAATCTGAAAAGATGCCTATAACCTCCTCACAGACTAGCTGCCCTCCAGTGTGTCATATCTGCCCCTTAATTTTATTGTTTCATTTGCTGTGGGAAGTGACACAGACACAAAACACAACCTACAAGATGGCTTCACTCAATGTGAGAAGAGTTATGTTATAAAGAAACTGAACTAAAACTACAAACCAGTCAACCAAAGTTCTACTACAATAAAGGCCACTGAAAATATCGAGGGTAGAGAGAGGATTGGGGAGGTGGCTCAGTGTTGAGGGCACATACTGCTCTTGCAGAGGACCCGAGGTCAGTTCCCATGATCAGGGAGAGCAGTTCACAGTCACCTGTAACTCTTGATTCGGGACAACCAGCACCTCTTCTGGCCCCCGTGGGGAGTACACTCACGCACAAACCCATACTCTGATACACAGATGCACAAAAAGAAAAACGCGTTTTTAAGTTACTGGGGAAAGTCTACGCCTTGGAAACCTAGTCCCAAGAGGACACACAGAGGGATTAGGGCCAGTTACTGCATCCGCCATGCACAGCCATGCACGCTGCTGCGTCCTGACGCACGCCTGTGACCACAGCACGAGTGACAAGTCTGAGGGTTACAGGGGCTCTGGCCTCTGCATAGCAGTGGGTTCTTTAATTCTTAGAGTGAATTTTCATCCCAGAATGCAACAAGAACAGACTGAAATTTCTGACCATATTAAAACGTATAACTCAGTGTCTGAGATGTACATATTTACATACATTTTATGTACATTCATTACTTATCCAGCAAAAATGAAAACGAAACTTAAAAATCACTGCAAAAAGCCAAATTTGTTCTAACTTGAAGTTTTTAAACTTAAAAAAAAAATGTATAAAACAATTTGCAAGAAATTAACCACATTGAAGGTCAGGGTTTCTACTGTACTTCATGTGGCACTAAAGGCCCTTTGTGTCATCTCTTTATTTAGTAAATACAGAAAACTGCCCTCACCTTCAGCAGCAAATTATCAGGGAATAGAAAATGAACAGGGAATATAAAAAGCATTACCAGGAAACAAAATAGAGAAATCAGAATATACCAACTTCATATAAATTATTTAATATTCACCAAGTGGAGGACATGCTGTAAGAGTGTATGTATAAAACATCTGTGTTTCAAACGAGGAAATGGAGTACAACTGTGACAGCGCCTCGCGGGACTTCCTAAACGGGCACAAAGAACCCGAACAGAGAGTCTATGGGGCAGTGGAGAGGCGGCTTTACACCCTCAGCTCTGCTCTTCCTTCCGATGCGGAGGAAGCACCTTCATTGTTTGCTCTATTTAAGGGGCAAAAATGTTTACATCAAACAGATCGAGCCAAAACAGAATCCTACACTCTTCCTCTGTCTAATGGGACATTTCACTTGTTTCTCAGTTATCAGTTTTGCAAACATAAATTCAATAATAAAACAGCATAGAGTATAAACTACATTACATAAAATTGAATTATTCATTTCAAGCATTAAAATAATTCTGTTTTGTAAGTGTTTCTTTCAACAACAGTGCCTCAAATGTGGTCTTTACTTACAAATCCCCACTTGGAAGAAAATTAAAAGTAAGGAGTATCAGTGGCTGTTGACCATTTTTTAAAAAATCAAAAGAATAAAAAGAATTGCTGATTTACATATGGTAGTACACGTCTGTAAACCCAGCACTCAGGAGGTAGAGGAAGGGCAACAGTAGTTCAAGACCAGCCTGAGGTATACAGTGAGTTTGAAGCCAGTCTGGGCTAGGTAAGGCCCCATCTCAAAGAGAGAGGTGCAGAGGTGTGGCAGGAGAGACAGAGAAGGGGAGGGGGATATGGGAGGGTTTTCTTTTTCTATCAACACTTTTATTTTAAAAGATCAATTTTATTTTCAAAATTTTAATTCATAAGTCACAAAAGTTTTGAGATACATATCTAATATGAGCAGCAAGATATATCTTTGAAGGGCATACTTACCAAAACAGCCCAGTTGTTTGTATGGCCGCTTCTAAAGAATTGTTCTGCTTGATCCTATAGACCAGATAAAAGCAAAATGATTCACACATACACACATTTTTTAAAAAAACATACCATTTCCCAGAATAAAGTATGATAAATGATAATAAAAATGCATGGGCATTTTTTATTATGATCTTTAGGTGTGTGTGCGCGCGCGCACTAAATGTATGCCCAGCATCCACAGAGGTCAGGAGAAGGCACTGGATCCCCTGGGACCGGTGTGATAGATGGATGGCTGTGAACCACTAAGTAGGGACTGGGAACTGAACCTGGGTCCTCTGGAAAAGCTTCCAGGGCTCTTAACCACTGAGCCATTGAGCCATCCCTCCTGCCCCTAGTGGACTTTAACTGTAATAGCCATCATGATCAGTGTATGAAGAAATTGTATTTGATCTTAGAACAAAATAAACTCAAACTAGGAACTACTTTAAGATGATGGCTCAGCAGGGAAAGGAGCTGGCTGCCACGTCTGAGGACCTGGGTTCAACCCCTGGACCCACATGGTAGAGGAACTGATGCCCATACATAGTCTCCTGACCTCCACAGGAACCCGTGGCAACATACACAAACACACATCAATCAGCTAACGTTCACTAATTAAAGTTACTTTAGGTAGTTTCTAAAAGATACCGTGTCATTGCGAAAAGCTCTAGTTGAAGATGCTGAGGGAAAAAGCAAAGCCCTAACATAGAAATCTGGAGATCAGAAGAGGAGTCTTACTTGAGATACTAATTAAACAAGCAACTTGAACTCAGATACTTGACCCCTGGGCTGAGGGTACAGATTCATGGGAGAGCATTTGCCTAACATGCAGTGGCCCCAAGATCTAATCTCTACTTCTAGAAAGTGAGTAAATTCACTTAACCCCTTCCACACACCGAGCCAAGGCACTGCCAATACCACATCATAGCCATTTACACTGTTAAAAACAGGAAGCCCTATACACATGCAAGTGAATGAGCAAAGTCACATCTTACTCTTTTGCATGGGATTTGTCTGTTTAAAGCATGTAACTAAGTTTTCATTTACACCGTACCCTCACACCAGCATTTTCATTACCGACTCGGTTTCACCGCTGCACTCCTCATAACTTACTGTGCACACTGCAGTCCCCTCTCCCAGCAGGGCCTAAGTGCCAACGGGAGAGGGCCCTTCATCAAGCAGATGCATTATTGTACCCAATTAGGAACAAAGTGGACTTTGGTGAAATATGTTTGAACAGAAGCATACATGGTCCACGTGACTTTATGCCAGTGATTGAGGCTAGACTGTCTCACAGGACGCTGGAGCCTCATGAGACCACAGTTAAAAAGCATCACAAAATCATTAAACTTCAAAATCCCGTGTAGGTAATATCCTGATAATCCCTCCACTAAAGTAGTCTTCTGTGCAATGGGAATATAAGGTGAATATGGTTATGCCTCTCAACATTTAATTCCACTGTGAGTACAACAGTATCCCAAGTATGAGACTCCACAACATCTCCCTCATTCCTCAACCAAAACAAAATGACCACCCTCAACCTTCTAACGTTCTCAACTTCAGGTAACCTGAGGAACACTACTGCCGGTTCTCTATGATCTCTGCAACGTGATCACTCTTTAATACTGGTCACAGGCCGGGCATTGGTGGCGCACGCCTTTAATCCCAGCACTCAGGAGGCAGAGGCAGGTGGAACTCTGTGAGTTCGCAGCCAGCCTGGTCTACAGAGCTAGTTCCAGGACAGGCTCCAAAGCAATACCGAGAAACCAGGCCTCAAAAACAAACAAACAAATAAAATTAAATACTGGCCACACTGACGTCAGAAAAACAAAATGTGCTAAAGCTTCCACAAACACTTCTGAGATTTTCTTTCACGTTTTCACTTTCTGTAGCTGTTCTTACAGATGTTTACTGCAATCTTATTTGCTTTAAAGACTTTATCTGAAAGAAAATTTTTCCTCAGGGTGTGTTTCTAATATTCCACTTAGTCTTTACCGTGTAAATGATTTGTGAATTCATATTTTTACCATTAAAATGGCACCCAATATCCGTACTTGCTACGTGCTGAATGGCTGTTGGAACTCACAAATGTATTTCAGGACATCCTCTAGCTTCATGCCATGTACTATTCCATGCCACTGCAGTACGTATGAACTACATTTGCTAATTCTGTATATCAAAACCTGCATAATCATCTCCCCAACTAATGGACACAATTTTAATGGCACACTATTCTGTTTGCAACTTGGGCAGGAGAGGGTTTATCTGTCTTATACATCAGTCATTCAGTTCTCTGGCTAGTAGAAAATTTTCAGAGACAAAAATTCCACTCAGGTGTGAGAACAGATCCACCACCACCACCCCAAAAAATGAAAAAAAGGAAACCTTAACAGCTGCCTAGACACCAAGCAGAGCAAACAGCAGTGTGCAATTGTGGATAACACACTGGTTTAGGGATTTGAAAGTCTGAGCTAAATTAAATTCTACCTGCTTGTGACAGTGAGGAACAAGTCACAGTTTGCACTAATCTCTAGTTCCAGGATCAAAATTGTTAGTCTGTTAAAACTTCACTGAAAAATCCGAGGAAGGCAACGTAAAGTTAATCATTCAACATCTGGTTAATGGAGTACCTTCTGTGTGCCAAGGGCACACAGTGATAGGGACATCATCAAAATGCATGCGTTTTCTCTCAAGGACATCAGAGTCTAAGGTAGGTGAACATGCAAATGCATTCCAATACTGCGTGACATTTATTAACTCACTAAGTCACTGGAAATCTACCCTGACGGGTACAGTAGTTCCTTGCCACCAAAGGGATTACTGTCCAGTTGCATAGACACACACTAGCAAAGAGCCCAGCGCACAATCGATGAAGCCACCGTGTGTGTGTGTGTGTGTGTGTGTGTGAATTAACAGGTGTGTGTGTCTGTGTGTGCATGTATGTGTGTGTGTGCATGTGTGTGTCTGTGTGTGTGTTGTGTGTGCTAATTAACAGGTGTGTGTGTGTGTCTGTGTGTGCGCGCGTGTGTGTGCGCGTGCATTAACAGGAGGATATGCCTTTGCCCGGGGACGTTTCCCTCCCTAAGTGACATTTTGGGTGAACACCCAAATGATGAAGGAAAACAGGCGACCAGAGACAATCGGAGCCAGCGGCGGAAGGGTCCCAGGGGGCTCAGAAGCCGGAAGTGTGCCGTCTCTTGCCGTGCAAAGAGCAGAGCAAGAGGTTGCGAGTCGGGGCGCGCGGGTCGTGACAACGTTTAGGCCTACCTCGACGTGACTGGCGGCCGAGAGAGCCCAGGCGGCCAGGGCAGCCAGGCGCAGCGCGAGCCAGCCGCCCGCCGCCATGCTCGCCGGCTTCCGCGCCTACGTGCGGGGGCGGGGCGAGCGCCGTAAAGCAGCGCGCTGCCGTGCGCGAGTGCGCGTCGTGCGGAGCCGTGCGGTGCGCGGGCTGGGGGAGTGGATGGGGGAGTGGATGCGGGGGAGTGGAGGAGTGGATGCGGGGGGAGCGGGTGCGGGGGAGCGGAGGAGTGGATGCGGGGGAGCGGATGCGGGGGAGTGGATGAGTGGATGCGGGGAGTGGATGCGGGGAGAGGATGCGGGGGAGCGGAGGAGTGGATGCGGGGAGTGGATGCGGGGGAGCGGATGAGTGGATGCGGGGAGTGGATGCGGGGAGAGGATGCGGTGGATGCGGGGGGAGCAGGTGCGGGGGAGTGGATGAGTGGATGCGGGGAGAGGATGCGGGGGAGCGGATGAGTGGATGCGGGGAGTGGATGCGGGGAGAGGATGCGGTGGATGCGGGGGAGCGGGTGCGGGGAGTGGATGAGTGGATGCGGGGAGAGTATGCGGTGGATGCGGGGGAGCGGGTGCGGGGGAGCGGGTGCGGGGGAGAGGATGCGGGGGAGAGGATGCGGGGGAGCGGATGAGTGGATGCGGGGAGTGGATGCGGGGAGAGGATGCGGGGGAGCGGGTGCGGGGGAGTGGATGAGTGGATGCGGGGAGAGTATGCGGTGGATGCGGGGGAGCGGGTGCGGGGGAGCGGGTGCGGGGGAGCGGGTGCGGGGGAGAGGATGCGGGGGAGAGGATGCGGGGAAGAGGATGCGGGGGAGTGGATGAGTGGATGCGGGGAGTGGATGCGGTGGATGCGGGGGAGCGGGTGCGGGGGAGCGGAGGAGTGGATGCGGGGAGTGGATGCGGGGATGCGGGGGAGCGGGTGCGGGGGAGCGGGTGGGGGGGGGCGGGGGCGGCGGGTGCGGAGGGGGCGGGGGCGGCGGGTGCAGGGGCAGCGGATGAGGTGCGGAGGATGCGGTGGTGGTTGCTGCTGGCGGCCCCGGGCTCCCTAGCTGAATGAAGAGCTCTGACTCGCTGCACTTCTACTTTGTTTTGTGAAGGACACACTGTATTTGAGGGGAGTTTTAAAAGTGGAGGGAGGGGGCTGGGGATCCCGCAGCCCGGTGCTTCGATTCTTGGAATGCTTGAAAGAAGCTTTTTAATTAATGCCAGGGTGATAAAGCGGAAACGTGACCAGAGAGAGAGAGTGGGGAGAGAGAGAGAGAGAGAGGGACGGAGGGAGGGAAGGAGAGAGAGAGAGAGCTTCTGTCATTCCGTTCTGTTTAAAAACGCACCTCTCGTACGGTTAGCACTGCGCTACTTTATTCTTGCTGTGAACGTTGTTTTGGTTTTTTAGGACAGGGTCTCATTATGTCCCCGCCTGACCTCAAACTAGCCGTGTACACCCAGACGAGCTTTGAACTCGCGGAGCTAAGCTAAGTACTTCAGTACCCTCTTCGTTTCACACACAAAGCTTTTGCTTTAGATTTATTTATTTACTTTATGTGTGTGCTTTGCCTACATACATGCGTACATGTACAGCGTGTGTGCTGCCTGCAGAGGTCAGAAGTGGACATCCGGTCCCCTGGAACGAGCGTTACAGAAGGTTGTGAGCCACCACGTGGGTTCCAGGAACGAAATCCCAACCCTCTGCAGGAGCAGCCAGTGCTCAACCACTGAGCCATCTCTCCACTCCACACAAAAACCTTTGTAATCAACGCTTTTCCCATCGAATTTTGTAACTTTTTCCAGGCTACAAGAAAAGAAATGCCAACTGCAGTTTTATTGATGTTATTAAAACTTGAGGAAACTTGACATCTTTTAAAATATATTCTTCCCATATGAAACCATACCTTATTCATTTGTATATTCTAGTCAGTGTTTAAAATTTTCATAGTCACAAAACTCTCAGAAAAAAAATTTAAGCTACACTTAGGCATTTTCAATATCAGTTAAAATCTTTATTAGACCTATTTTCATTATGTAAGAATATGTAGATCATCTAATCGTCATTGTGCATTCGGATGTATAGGTGCTCTACTGTGTTCAACTATTCTTTCATTATTTTAATAATAAAGATTGCCTCGTTATCTTGACAGTGAAAGTTATTAAAACTTCCACTGGTTTTTACTCCTCTAGTCTTAATAAAAACTCATGAGTTGCCTTCTGACTCTACAGCGTGATTTCTTCCATTCCTCTTTCATGATTTATGTCATGGCACAATGTTAATTAGTAATATTAGTAGGAAGCAGCAGTTCGTATTTTGTTTTTGTCTGAAAATCAGCAGTTTTATCACTCTGCATTAAATCTATCAGTAGTTCTTGGATTAGAATATCCATTGCCATGTCAGGATGGCCGAGCAGTGTAAGGCGCTGCGTTCAGAATATCCAATAAGAATGGGAGTGAGTAGAGCATATGCCATACTGTTGCTACAGCTGTCTAGACAATTGTGGCGTAGACCAGAGTACTAAATGTAGAGGCTTTGGGGATGATGAGAATCAAGAAGGGCGTTAAACCAGGAGAACACAGCGATGGGTTTCACTTTGGAACAGAGTACACAAGCAGACGTCTATTTGTAATTGTGTCTGTGTGTGAGTGCATGGCAAGAGGTACAAGTGCACATGTATGTACACGTATGTCGAGACCAGACCAAAACCTCAGGGGTCATTCCTCACCGTGCGATTCATTTATCTAATTATTCTTCATCAGTGAAAACTAGGGAGTCAGATGTCAGGGTAAGAACCTGAATGATCACAGAAGCAGCAGAGAAGTGGCCAGAGACCTCCCTATCTCTGTCGTTCTCCATCCAAAAGGGCTGGGATGCCCTCTAAGCCCTACCCCACTACTTCCTGTCTCTCTATTTGTCCTCAGTCCTCCAAAACCTCTATGGTTAATTTTACTCAGCTAGTAGCTAACTTTGTCCCCTGATTCGAAGCAAAGTTTATTGTCAGAATGCAGTCAAAATATTACACAACAACTTGTTTTGTATGTGTGAGAGACAGGCTCTCTCATTGGCTTGGAGCTCAGCAATTTAGCCAGGCTGACCGGCCAGTGAGCCCCAGACAGCTGTCTGATTCTGCCTGACCGGGAACTGGGATCCCACACCGGCACACCTGGCCGGGACACCTGGCTTGCTGTGTAGGTTCTGAGGACTACACTCAGTAAGAGAAGGTATCTTTCGGATATCTGCCCTGTTCAAATGAATACCGCATACTATCATTCCTTCAAACACTGAGAGCACAGGAAGCTGGGTGGGTGAAGTCTAGTTTAACCATGACCCGAAGCAAATGGGAGATAAATGTACATACATCTATTAAAAATACAAAGTAGCCTGTGTGGCGTTGATGTCAGGTTCCCAGGTTTCGGCACCACTTGTGAAGAGCTATTGTCTCGCCTGCAAGAACGATGCTCAACAACAGGATTCTTCTGCAGCTATGTTTATTGCGCTGCTCATTACAGCAAGTTGAGGGAAGACCCGGAAGGAGGAAAAAGGGCTCTGCTTATATATGCTTTAGGGAGTCGTGTCCTAAGCTGACAGGTGCAGCCCTCAACGCTCATAACGGTCACCCCATGACGTGGATCGCACATCTGCGCCTTGCTGGCTCATGGACAGGAAACCGGTGCCATCTTCGGGAATGGCACCGGTGGCTCTCTACACCTCCCAAAGCCTCCAGAAGTAACTCGGTTCTGCCAAACTAATTTGGCAGACAATAGGCAATTTGTTCTTGGCCCCTTGATTGTGATTCTCTGTTTAAAGCAACACAGGAAATGTATCTAGCACTTACACCTTGAATACTTAGTGATATTTCTCATGGTAAGTGTTGATATGCCTGGCTATTTTTTTTTTTTCTTCTTGGTTTTCCTAGAGATGATAGTAACTATAAAAATCATGAATGTGGCCAATGGGATGACTTTGTGGGTAAAAGAGCTGCAGGGACCAGAACTTCACCCAGCCCCCTGCTTTAGCAGCCATGACAGGCTGCAGAAAAGACCCAACAAGATGTAGGCCTCTGACTCAGCAACAGGTGCTGAGTTCCTGACCTTCCCTAATTACTGGGAATAAAGCTCCAGACACCCTCCATGTGGCAGGGAACCCACCAGAAATTATCTGGAAGGCTCTGGAATACAGAGCATAGCAACCGCCCTGGAGGGCCTCAAGGCATAGCAACCTTACTACAACAATCAACACGGGACGGGTTGTCCAAGCTTGGAGGTGCAAAATCCTGAGACTGTTGCAGACCCCAGAAACTCCCCTTGCTCCACAGCAATCCAGGCTCCCATAGTCCCTCCAGGTCCTTCTTCTCCACCCACTGTGTCAGAGGGAGGACCCAAGTTAATACAGTAATCAATTAGTTAAAGACTCTTTGCTTGCGCATCAGATCGGGTCTCTTGGTGATTTGGGGATTCAGAGTTTGGACACAACAGCATTCATCAAGAAAACCTGATGACTTCAGTCCATGGAACCTACAGTGAAAGGAAATAACTATCTCCAAAGCTGTCATCTAACTTCTAAATCATGGCAGGCATGCACCAGAATACACACACACACACACACACAGTCACATACACACACACTCACATAACACACACTCACAGACACACACACTCTCTCTCTCTCTCACACACACACACACACACACACACACACACACACCACTCTTATGTGTACTCTTTCCTACCAGCTGCCTGGGTCCTGCTGTCCCTTCAGCCTCCAAATAACACAGGAGACACTGTATTAATTGTGAGGTTGTTGGCCATTGACTAGGGCTTCTGATTGGCTGGCTCTGATCATCATTAGCCCATCTCCTCTGTCACTCTGAGTGTGTCACATGGTCATATCTTACCAGAGAGAGGGTCTGGGCCTCTTACTCCTTACATGCTACATCTGGACTGCCCTCTGCCTACCGTCCCAGAATCCTCCTTGACTCCCAGTCCCACCAATCACCCTGCCTCATCGGCCACGGTGTTTTATTCATCCACCAATAAAAGAAACATACATACAGAAGAATCCCCATCAC